GGCTTCCGGGTTTAGGTCCTCGAGTCTCGCCCAACGACCGGTTGGACACAGAAGGTGACACGCAGCAACGTCGTAGTTTGTCATCTAATCACATTCAAAATATGGCTTCTTCACTAGTTTTCACCCGTGCCTTTGCATGCTTTGGCTATTCTTTTCTATTCGAGTTTTGTGGGGTACCAATAAAAAAGGTAGCACAGTCTTGTTTGGTGAACTGCTCATTACCTGAACTGAATGGTCCATACGAATATGCTAAACTTGCTGGAATAAAATATGTGCCGTGTTTTCCTCCTTCGATTACATCTTAAATCGGATACGCAACAATTGAAGATAATGACTGACTTACCACCAGATAAGACCTGAACGACTTTGAGTTAAAGTAGTATCTACAAATAGGCGAAGTCTCCGAGCAGGAGCTTTCAGTCGCACTCCAGATATACAAATTAGATTGTTGTGAAGCGATGTGAACATTGCAAGCCCTTCTCTACTGTTTCTGAACCACGAAGCATTTAAACGAAATAGTAAGAGGCTTTAAAGAAGCTTACACACACAAAGGTAGCTAACTACTCTCCCGAAGGGCTTTGTTTAGTGGATCGTAGACGTCCTGTAATCAATCGGGACCGCGTCGCCAACGAGTCTTTATTAATGGGGAGAACTTTAAATTGTGAAAATCATGGAAAACCATCAATGCAAGAGATGACTCGTGTGTGAGCATGACGGAGAGAGAGACTGTGGTACTGCTTTTATACCGTCTGTCTCATAAGTAACCCTCGAAAGGTTACCTATCTCGGGCGGTAAACATGTCAAGTAAAGCAAGTGAAGCGGCGGACGACTGAGGCAAACCACGGCCCTACGGGTTCAGCTGCTATCATTATCAGAGTTAAGTTCACTTGTCACCCAAAGATCTGATGGTCACAAGTCCAAGCAGCAGGCACGCCCTGATTGAATACTGAGTGACCGAATGAATGCGTCTGTGTGAGTGCGCACGAGTACCCGATTAGATTGTTGATCGCAACGAAAATCGATTGTTTTCGGTCACAGCTATGCTAAGCAAGATTGAGAGAAATAATGTGGTCTATCTCTTTATAGAGAAAAAGTTGAATAATTCCTATTTCGACGATATTCCGTTACGTTTACTGTCCACAGTCGCCTAGGTTAGGCAACCTGAAATTTATACAGTTGATGTTAGGGATTACAGTGAACGACGTAAAGCATTACATACAAGCAAAATGATTCAAGATCCAATCCGTCAAGCTCGGTTAAACTAGCTAGTTTACTGGAAATCATTGTATCGTATGACTTGTGTAAGTTTATGTGCTTCCATTTCAGCGAAATAACATTCGCTCAAAACAATTTCACACTTAAGTTTCATTTTACATGCTGCACGAGGTGCCACTAAATCAACTTTGTTCTTCCGCAGTTGCTTCTAACCAAACCTTTTAGGATGACTAAATTACACATGCTGATGAAAAACAAATTTGTATATCGTGCAGTTTAAACAGGAAACAGGTAATTCAATTTATTTCGGAAAGTGTGCCTGAGGGGGTGCAAAACACTGCTAAACCCCGCTCTTGGACTAACGGGAAAACAAGTATCTGATCACGAAACACAGTGATCTTTATTGATAACGACTGAAACACGTCAAATTACATTCCGGATAGTCTGTACTCTATATTATCCCATTCTTGGAGGATGGGTGATGTCAACTCGTGTAAAATGCCGAACACTATTCCGTCCGCGTAGACTCGTCCTGTTAACAGACCCCAGACATTTTCAATCACGTTGAAGACTGAAGATAAGCTAATAAACACTTTTGCAGAAATGATTTCCGTTGAAGTCAGTAGGAAGTGCGGGGTCGACCAAAAGGCGCTAGCACAGAGGGTGAGTCACCTAATTTTTTATAAAGTATTCAAGGCTGCTCACAGCAAAGCATCAGGCGCGACGTTTCACAGAAACCTGGTCGTGCCTTCTCTGAGATTACAAAAGTGGAGAAATTACTCTGCCATTGTTAAAAATACTGTCAGCATAGGTCTGATTAATGTCTCGCACACTACACGGACAACCGATCAATATTCCTCTCATGAATAAACAAACACCTGATATGCCTTGATCTTTAATCAAACTTTAGCGCCAGCAGCGCTGACTTATCGATTTTGCTGTGTAATGATTGGTCTTACTCTTTCGCGCGTACCCGTACATGTAGTTTAATTCATTATGTCAACTCAGTTGCTTGTTTGCCGCTTATTCGCCGGCTACAGCCGGGTTCTGCGTTTATGATCGCACAAATAAACGCAACTCCACTATTACGTGTTCACTACTAACTATGAACCCACCATATGACGTCGCGGGTGTCGGACCAGTTTTATGGATTTATACATACAGTCGACATGAAAATTAAGGGCGATTTACCATTTTCTGCGATTCAGCGAAATCATTCGTCGGATCTACGCAAGAATGCCCTGACTCTCTGGCCACAAGTCTATCTGCAGATGTGAGTGATTAGGACCAGAGTGTTACTTCTATTTTCCGGGAAGTTTTTCGTTGATAACTTGTTTTATTGTTTTCATTGAATGCTTCGTCCGCTTTTCTCCCACTCTTCTCGGTTTTGTCCTGTATACGTCCTTCATTCTAACGACACTGCTTTGTGTTATATTACATGCTTAATGCTAATACTACAATTGCTGCTACTACACTGCTATTACGGTGATTACTGCTACACAGACAGTACGGAATTCGGTATTTTCGTAAATAAGTTTAGCGGGCAAAGTCGTCCACGCCCCATGCGCTCTAACTGGCATGCTTACCACCTGTGAGTGTTGATCTTTCAAGCGTTACTTCTGGAACAAACAGTACAACTTTCTCGACGAACTACAAGTATGTAAAACGCAGGAAAACTAGGATCATTATTAGAGCGAGCTCAATATTAATTTTGAAACGTCGTATTTACGGACTTTCGACTGCGTGAAATGAGACCGAGGGTTTGCGAACGTGAGTGGATCCCTTGAAAGACAAACGTTATCAAGTAGATCATGAATTTAAAAATAAATCATGATCATTTGCCAGTTTCCCTTAAGCTGCTGAGGCAGACCACCAGAAGACGTAGGCTGTTGCAGATTAGATTCAGATAAAACACTTGGCTACTTGTGTGCGCGAAGCAGCATCGCATGCTTCCTACCTTGGGTACATCCAAACGTATGCCTCACAACAATAAATCGAGTGTTGAAACGAAAATCCACTGGAGATATAAATCTGTTCACGTCACCACATATTGCGCTTGTGGGGTATCTCTTCGAACTTCATCTTATCTGCATTTCCAGACAGGCTGTATCTCTGTTCTCATCCATGGAAGATGTACTCGAGTGATGAGGAATTTTTGGATTTTGTCCAATCTGGAGCCCTTACTGTTCTTATCGGCAGTTTTTCACGCCTTTACAAAAGATGAAAGCAGGAGGGAAGGGTGGGGGGGGGGATTCCGCGGTGGTCAGCCACCAGTAGGTGCACGATTTCCCTTGGCGTTGCCTTTTCATCTACTCTATGAGTTTCCACTGCGGGATGCTCAAGCTGCTTTGGTTTTTCTTTTAATCTTGTGACTCTTTGAAGAGACCGTAAAAATTCACTTCTGCGTAATTCCCTCAACTGGCAAATAAAGGGTATAAGGTGAAGTATTTTCCAGATGGCTACTTATACAACTGTCCAAGCTATTTTGGTAAGCAGGAATACAACTTTGCTTGTTCACACGTGATCAAACACTTGAGCCATTTTTAGAAACCTAGCATAGATTTCAAAGCTTCTAACTCATGGCATGTATCCAATGTACGTACGACCCACATATCTTCATTTCACCAAAGGGAGTTTCACGGGATTTTATAGAATTCTCTTCCGCGAGTTTGTGTCTAAAAGCAGAAAATTATCGTCTTACGTTTCGCGGGTGTGCATGCACTAATCATAACCGATTAGTTCAACTGGTAGAAAGCTTCACATGGTGGGAAGTGTACCTTTTATTTAATCACACTTCCACATATATGGCAACTCCGTTTCGTTATATCATGCTCGTCTGTTTGCTGATCCCATTAAAGACACAACAGACGTAGGGTAATGTCTGGGTTGACGAAACTCACCACACCTTGTACGTATTTCCCTGTTAGGTATTTCTATATCGAGCAGAGACACTAGTACAAAACCACATCACAACCAAGGGCTCCATTGAAATCCAAACTGAATTTATTATGATTTTACAATTCCAGTTAGTCCCTTGTGTTTCGGCTTAAGCTCGTCACTCCTTGCAACGATTGATGTATACTTTACCCGGTAAAATAAAAACGCAATAAAAACAAGTTAGGTGGGAAATCAGCTAGCAGTGATTCATTGCTTGTCAATTCCTTAACTGTACGTATCCCTTATCATTTACTGCTACGAAATTAAACACAGAAAGTGTACACCAAGCCTCTTGATAATGCACTGATATTCTGCACCATTCCAGTGGTTATAAATCCCCAACTATTTACGTTGATCTTTTTGTACGGATCATTGTAGACTCATTGCACACACCATGACTCCCTGGTCATTGTTCTACCATTCTGGGGGTTGTCAAAGAAACAGGGTGTGTTTCCGATACAAACCATCCAACAAGTAACACCCTTTTTCTTTCACTTTTACAATATGCTGCCCGGCTGCTACCTTACATGTTTTCCGTTTGTATGTATGGCATCCTGTCGAAAAATACGCGAAAGTTGATGCTACTTAAGACTCGTCTAACTATCAACTAGCTGATGAAAACGTATACGTGAAGTATATCATTAATTTTCAGACTCGGTGGCGCACTTGACCTAACTGTACAATTTTAAGTACTAAAGATAGTGAATGTTCACCTAATCTTGGTGTCAGAAAAGAAAAATAACTCCTTATTACGTTGTCTGAAACGCTACTGATACGGGAAAATGATACAAATAGTCGACGGAAAGTAAAAAGCTTTTGTAACTGTTCGCAATCAGACCGGATCTTACCAGTCATTATGGCCACGCCAGAAGAGGATCGAGCAGCCAGGTTTTCTCCGTAACCGTCACACGAACTGTGATTCATATAACCCAGTTGGGCTAATTGTTCCGCATATTTTTGAGCACTCCGGGCCAAAGCCATATCAAATTTAAGCTTTCCACATCCGTGCAATGCACGGTATCTGGGTTGGTAGAAGAGACACGGGGAAAAATAGCAACCATAAGATAACCCGAATCAGTGGTTTTATGAATGGCTCGATGACCAAGAGGAATATGGTTGCTTACTCATTATGTGCATCGATAAATTCGGCGTTGAGCGATTTATCCACCATAGCGTTGTTTATTTCACTTTTTGCTGCATGTTGACGATAGCTCAAAAATTTATTTGGTTTTGCCGAACGTTTACCGGAACATTGTGATTGGTAATTCCGTGGTGTCACGTGATCTCACCACAATCACTTCAACTGCGCACGCTCATTTCTACTGACGTGCCCATTGACTCGTCGGGACGCTAGTGGGTGCAGACGTGCCATCACAAAACTGTTTGTATGTGTAATGGTGTATTGTGGAATGTGTCTGATCTATTTAAGTGAACACGTGCGGAAAATGGGGGTGAATGACTCAAGTTTACCTGTGCAAATTCATTCACACCACGCTTCTAGAGTCATGTGGCGGTAGTCACGGTTACACGAGTGAGAGTCCGATAACTTATGGCAAACAAACACAAGGGCTGCTCCCCCCGATCAATGAATGTGGTTCTCCGAACTCAAGTGAAGTAAAATGGTTATTGAACTAACAGTGACTAGTAAATCCACTGTTTTTCGTAAATACAGTGCAAAGCAGTGCATGTCACAACTACAAAGACGATGTCCAGTACCAGGGTGGAATGACCAATCTGATTCTGTTCATATCGAGCTAATCTATGTTTAGGAAAAATGATTTTCGTTCACAACATTTTCATTTGTACATCAGGCTTGTGAGTTCACTGGGAAATTTCGACAGTGATTCCCTGACAGTTCCATAGGGACTGGTAGCAGCTACCTTCGAGAACTGCGGTCGCAAGTTGAGATATATGATCCAAATAGTATCTACAGGTGGATGAATCGGCTTCATAGCTATGCGCGATCAACTCAGATCAGCAGTATCAGCAAAACACTGTCGTGATTCCTCAGTGGATTATTCTGCGAGGAGAACCTGCTCACATTCCAGGAACACAAATTAGATTGTTGTGAACGAAAACACTTGAAGTGTACGATTGCGAAGGTGACCGAACAGATGAGTGCCGGATAGACTCTAACCAAGGAACTGGTCGTGCGCTCCCGGGAACCTTTTTCCAATCACCTGTAGATATTGCATACATTACGTAAGATGACTTTCATCGTCTGCTCGGGTGCAGCTCCGATGGGGCTGAGAAAACTGATCTGCAATCCCATAACTGAAGCTTTGGAAAAATTTTGAACTGGGCATTAGAAACTACGATCAATGGTTTGAAGCATCAATATTATCATCTACTGTCTATTGCCTACTCATAATGCAGTTCAATGTTTTCCTTAAATGGGGCTCTTTGTGTGATGTACAAGACGTAATGAGTGAATGTGACAGCTCGCTAATGCGATGGCCATCATTTGTCGTGCTTTAACCGTACATGCTCCCGCAGTTCGATAACTGCGTTTTCAAACGAACTTTGCGCTGTGCCTGACAACAGAAATACTTTTAATCTGGTAAGAAATGCACTAGTTTTTGGATACATTGACGATGCACATGCGGTTTTAGGGTTGTACTAGATCTGTTTATCTGGTCAGGGTGATATATAGAACGTTCGATACAAGTTGGTTGCCTGCTCTAGTTTCTTCAATATTTTTCGTACAGGTGACGTCATTTCACATCACGGACAGGTTTCATTATTTATCATTCAAACCAGGGGCCGCATGACATACACCAACCGAGTTTAGCCGAGAACAAGAGCAAAGCTTTCGCTCAAAGATGATCCTTCAAAATTGAAAACATGATCACTGTTTTCCCTGGGTAATCTGTTTCTTCACATATCCCTCTGAAGAACGTGCTCTTGATTTCACTTCAGACTCCGAAATATCTAGCAGAATTCGAGTAGTATGTGTGCTGTTAATGCACCGATGCTTGCAGACTACCAGCTACAAATAACCAAACTTTTGTGAATTGATCCATACCGTATACACTGGAACCCTGATTTAAACAGTAGAACTCTGTGATGCAGCCATGCATCACGTGACTATTTGGACATCATCGTTATCGTTGTCACAAAACTGGTGATACCAAAGAGATACATATGACCCTTATTGTGGATGTAAAAGGGGTAACTAACCGGAACTATGATAAATATTCTACTCAGAAAGAGGCTTCACTGAGTGAACTGGGCGCAAAACTGCGGCCACTCAGGCGCAACTAAAAGAGCTATGTCCGGTTGGTGCAACTGACCGAGTTCTTCAATGCTAAATTCAAAAACACCCAGTTGTCAGCCTCGACTGAGGCCTCCCCGGAGCTAGCAGTTGGAGCTTTCTATTGACGAACATGACGTCATCATATTATTCTTTTAAACTACTATTACATTAGTTTGAGCTGGTCTTCCCACTTCATGTGTAGTGTGTTGACATAAAACGAAGTCGGAAGCAATATCTAATCTTTGTCACGTGATACCTATTACAATGATGGTTTATGGTTATGAACAAGAAGAGTCATTATTGGTCACTGAATCTTCAGGAATGATTCTGGATTTTTGTGTAAGCACATCCACTGGTGAGCCTGAAACATAAATAACGGGGAATGAATGAAGATATCATGTACAATGGAATTCTGTAATTCAAGTTTAACGTGCATAAACGTGGTAACAGCTTCTGTGCCACACTTGTCAATTGTCAGCTAAGCAAAATATGAGGAAACGAGTTAACAACCGGTTATCTGGGGAAGACTGTAGTGTCATTTTGCCAGATGACCTTTGACCTAGCTATTATTGTTGCTCAAATCAGATTTCTACTCCCTTAGTTTGGCTAGGTACATAGTTTTTACGGGGGTTCTCACCAATGTACATCTTAGTTCATGCACACAAAACTGATGAAATGTATTTTATTGCATTATATTGTTATACCGTATTGTATATTACGCCGGTGCAGTTATGTGATAAACATGTGCACAATACAAGAGTGCACTAGCGTTGATACAGGAAGTTAAATTGAGTGTTGGGTATACAGTCTAAGGAAAATTCAAAATGATTCAGAAGCATATTGCGCGCAATGGTGCAGTAAAATTATCTTCGATCACCAGTGCACAAAGAAGGAACGGAACGGGATAATTCCCATTCACATTTATGCTGATGTAAATAATATTGATGGTTCTTGAGTGAGAGTTGCGTTTCTAAAGATCCTCAAAGGTGGGGTGGGTAAGATCTCTAAGAATATTCAATGCTAATTTGTAACAGGAGTTAGAGTGTATGCCGCCCACTTTGTTGATCAGTTCGACAAACGTGATGTAAGAGACAACTGACTAAGACAATACTGTCATATCACGAAATCGGTAAACTGGGCGAAAGCAGGAATGTGCGGATGAATGTGTATTCAGCACAAGCGTGCGGCTAGCGGAAGCTTTTAATCTATATCAGATTCACATGAAGCTGGCAGCGTGTGGTTGGTTGAGTAGGGCACAAAAGAGTGCGATACAGACAAGTATCGGATGCGAGCGTCAGACAAGGAAGAACAGAATGAGTCGCGACTTACGGCCACTGGCGCATGGATAGGCCCCCAAAGTCCGAACGTAACAGATATTTCGATGTAGAACTTAAATATACGTCTTTAAAAATGCGAGGAAGATCACGGAGGAAAATGGATTAGCAGCGGTAAAGCATACAAATGCACAAGGAAAGATATAAGTGTAGACTTATTGCGGCATTGTTCGGCATTTCGAATTTGAAAAGAAAGGCTCCACAATCTAAGCGTGCTCTTGGCCATATGAGATGATCAATGACGACTGATGTTAAACGTCACTCCGAAGTACTTCGTAGATTCTCTTCTGAGAAACTGATTCGTGTAAAGGGTGAAAGGAACATTCGGGAAAACTGGGCGAGTTAGGGTAAAGATACACGTAAAACTCTTGAGAGGGCAGGATGAGAGACCATTTGGTTCCGAAAAACAATGTTCTGAAGATCAGGAAATAGGTTAGTAAAAATCTCTTCCTTTTAAAATTCACGGCTCTTCCAATTACGGTACAAAGGGAACCGTAGGGGAGGTCGTTGGGGGGGGGGTGTGCGTCCCCGGAGAAGTGGCGAGAAAGATGAATGTTGAAGAATATTTAGATTAATCAATAGTAATTTGAACGACTGGAACATCTGGTATTTTCGGTGCATCTTAGAAAATCGTTTAGATAGAGAGCCCTTTGTCAGGGTAGGGTCTGACACGTCGTTCGATAGACGGGTTGGTCTCACTGATAGATACTGCGTCAACACCTGCCCAGTACCGAACCCACGAAACCATGGGTGATATTATAGCCGATCGATGGCGTGGATCATTAGAATGGGAGATGAATTCTGTCAGCGGTATTCAAACCTCAAGATTTGGTTGCCCGCATCAGTCAAACCAGTACACTTTGTGCAACGACTGGATGCATGGACCAGAAAGCTATATGTTCAATGTTTACCACATAAAACGAGATGATTCGTAGGCAGAAAAGACTTCTCACTATTTGGAGGGACGAATCAGGACTACCGTGGGAGTGAAGCTTCTGTAATAAGACCTTTCCTGGTAAGACGTAAATGGCTGAAGAACAGTCAGGAAAAATAGAGGTTACATATCTAATAGAGTTACTTAGTAGATATGAGTTATTAGATAGGATGCCGCTTCCAGCGTAGTCCCATGAGGTTTATGAGCAAGCTGGATTTGGTTACATGGTCATATGGTAGGATGCTACAAGCCTGCGATTATAATTCCTTACAAATTCACGACAAATCTGTTGTTTATCTTTTGAAGGTTACATAAACCGTTGGTGAAACACGCGGTCAGGTATTGTGATTAGACTACTATATTTTAGGAAGCGCAAGAGGCTTGGAGACGCGCTTGAGAGCGGTACTGGACAGCAGTTTCCAAACCATACGCATACTACCTCGGACAGCACAAATATTGCTTCCATTCCATTCTGATGGACTTTGATACGATACACAGGAGCATAGGTCCTAAACTCCAGAATGAATCAATCACATTGAGATGAAAATAGGCAGGAAATAGACGAAATGCTCAGAGATTTTTGTGCAAATTGAAAAAATTATGTTGATGGCATGATTAAGGATGACCAAATCAACTCTTCAAGGAAG